GGGGGGAATAAAAATGATAAAAAGACGAATTTTTCAAAAGTCCCCTCGCTCTTTGGCAGATGAAGAAGCTAAAGCTAGAATTCCTAAGAGGTACATAAGCCCCACAGTTGGTAAGTGGCAGAATTAGGGTATTAATTTAATTTTGATTTCTGATCAATCTGACATAAGGTATGTGCTCCTGACCCCGGCTTTGCCACCAATAGGCCTTAGATTATTACGGAGTTTGTCTGGATCAATGAAATTGGAGTCGTGGAACTCAGCGGACATACTTGAAGGACCCATGGCAGCCTGCTGGGCTGGTTCCGGAAGAAGGAATGGGCTCTGGAGGCCCTTGCTCCACCTACTGCCCTACAAGCCCCCGCCACCGCCCTCTCCCTAGCTTGTCCCTCGGGCACTGACACGGAGTTGGCAAAGAGTCGTCAGCGAATCCCCACCTTCTTGCCAGGAGGCTGGCTCCTCCGAGGTGGCGACAGGTCAGAATCAGAAGAGCGGGTCCTCCGTTTCCTTCTTGGTGGCGAGAGGTCAGAATCCGAGCTCCGGTGCGAAGGTCTGTTCCGCGGTGGTGACAGATCTGAGCCAGAATCTGGGTGCCCTGCACCGTGTTGGGGTTTGGGCCGGGGAGGAGAAAGATCTGAATCAGAGGCCTGCTGGCTATCACCAGAGTCCAAGGTGTGGCTGGGATGTCGTCTTCTGGGCAAAGAGCCTGCATGGTGTTTCCTATGGCTGCGGGGTGAGCCTAGAAGCAGAGGGTGCCTCTTTCATCCCCTTGGAGCAGTCTAAAAGCAACAACTTGGGAAACTGGTCGTGTTCCAGTGAGGAACTACCACTAAGCTAAACACAAGTATGCACGAGAACACAGTCAGACCCAGCTCTTACAACCCCAGTGACTCGTGACCATCACAATATGCTCACCTACATCACACCCTCCCACCCACACAACGGGCATGACCCACTCCGCTCTTGGGGAGGAAGAAATACCGAGAAGACATTCTGATGTCTTCCAATGAAAGGGTCAAAAGGTGTTCTAGGCTGATCATTAAAGTTGTACCTAGAGGCAAATACAGAGGGAACCCACTTCTAGATACAGACATCACTAATTGCCTCCAAGAAGCCAAGTGGCCACATGGATGAACACTGCTGAACAGAATGTAAGCACTCTGAATGTAAACACCTGTTCCTGACTCCATCTCCAGTGCCTGCAACAGGGCCCACGGAGACTCGATAAACATGTGAAGCTCGATGAAAGAGGAAAAATGTGTGTGTAAATATGTGTGTGTGTGTGTATACATACACACATAAATAAATGTTGATATTTTAAAACTCCATGAATCAATTTCTAATTTCCTTTTCTAGGAAACCTATCTAGGAGTAGTTTAATTTCCAGGAAACGTATCTAGAAGCAGATAAGCTGATACTCCTGAGTGAGCACAATGCATTATGTACGAGGATGTTCATCACAGCGCTGTAAAGATAGGGCAGTAAATGAACATCTAAAAGTAAGGGGAAGCACACAAAAGAAGGGAAGGGGTCACGTAAGTGTAGGCAAAGGCACCCTGTGATGAAACGCCCATTAACAAAGGGTCTGTATGCACATGCCCTGTGTGGTTACTCCATGGTCAGGGCTCAACTACATACACGAGGAGCACAGCGATGGCCTGAGTGACTGACTTTTCTGCTTCCTGACACCTCTGCATTCTAAAATCTGTACACACGCACAGAGCACTTTTACGTGGGTGGGATGAATAAAGCAAAAGATGTATGAAAGCACTCCTCCCTCCCACTATTTATTTTTCAATGATGCTGTCGGCTTTATTCTCTAGCCTGACCTCTCACCTTTTCCTTTGTCTAAGTCCCTTCCCATTCCTAGTGATCATAAATGCCTTCTGAAGCAAAGAAATGGCTCAAACCAAAGTTTTGGCAATGAGTCACACTCACCCTTAGAAGCACGCTTATTTAGAAAATGGGATTTTGCCTGCTTTTTCCGTGGAGGGGAGAGGTCCGAGGCACACCCGCCTTTGCTGTTCTTCGGGGGCGATGGATGAGAAGGGCCTGACCCCTTGCAAGGTGGAGGGGACTTCCTAGAGACTCTATCTGGGGCTTGACTGCTTTTGGTTCTGGGTGGTGAATGAGGGGAATTGGAAGACAAACTGGGGGAGTCATGACGAGCCCTTGGCGGGGGAGATACAGCTGAGGAACTGTGATGACCCCTCCGCAGAGGAGACAGAGCTGGTGAGGCTTGACGGGCTTTCCGAGGATATACAGCTGAAGAATTCCGATGTGGCCTCTGGGGCAGGGAAGGATCCGGGGAGTCATGGCGGACCCTCCTGGGAGGAGAAGAATCTGGGGAGTCATGGCGGACTCTTCTGGGAGGAGAAGAATCCGGGGTGTCATGGCGGACCCTCCTGGGAGAAGAATCCGGGGTGTCATGGCGGACC